TGAGGGGCCACGGTGCAGCCTGGCTCTGGAGTCTTGGTGTTCCCAGGCTGAGGGACATTTGGGTGGCACGGCTCTGGGATTGTGGGAACCAGCGGTCCTTGGGGGGGAGGCTGGCAGGGCTGCTTCACTTGCTGCTCCTGCAGTTGAGGGGGTGGGACAAAGGGCTGCTTCTGCTGGTAGGAACTCATGCTTCAGGGGAGGCTGGACCTGGAGGCAGAAGAGTGACTTAGTTTGGAGAAGCAAGGAAGAAGCTCAGTTTGATGCCATGGCTCTCACTGGGCACCTCTTCATAAGGGAGAGTCTCCCTTTTCTCTCTCTCTGTTTCTGTGAATTTGAGATCAGAGGAGGCTTTATGGTCCCTGCACGCTTTCAAGGTCAAAGGTCAAAGTGACTGGCTGAGTCCCACGCGACTGGACCCTCCTCTGCTTCCTCTCTGCCTGGAGCATCCAGAAACCTCCACGTGACCCAGAAACTGAACTCAGACCACTCCACACAGAGCAGCTTCCTAGGATTGATGGAAGGCCCCAGGTTTTCAAAAGTCTGGAAAGATGTGGCATGTCCCCACCCATGTCCACCCTGCAGAGTGCCCTAGCTCTCCCAGGGAAGCTCTGTGGGGACCTCCCCTGGGCCTCCATGGGAGCCTCTGTCCACACTGTCCCCTGTGTGGTGGTTTCTGGAAGGCTTCCCACTGCCTGGCTGCTTGTCCCCGTGTCCTCCCCAGGCCTCTCCCCAAGTCCAACTGGCCTTCCTCCTGTCCCCCAGCAGAGCCCCTGTCTCCCTTTTTCTACTGAACACTTTAATAATTGAATGTTAGTGAATTACTCCCACGTATTCTATTCTCTGAGGGATTATAGAATTGAGGAGCAATGAAGGACTTAACTTTTAAGCATCAAAATTGCATAATGCCCTGCCTTTGACACCGAAGAGTCTCGATACATCAGAGGGACAATTAAAATGTCACTGAAAGCGGTACTAACAACGTTTCCAGACATCACTGCCATTTTCTGACCCTCGGTCCCACAGCTATAATCTGAGGGAAAAGTAAAAAGCACCTACATTTGCACCCTTAGGTACAAACTGCCTTTGCATTTAGAATGGCAGAAAGTCCCCAGTCCCAATGGAAGACCAGGGGGTAACTTCAGACTTCCAAGCGGGGAGCCTTACCTCAGATGCTGAGCCGTGTGGCTTCTCTGGTCTGGGGTGACGTCTCCAGCCAGCTGGAGTTTTATACAGAAAATGAGCCCTGCCTTCAGGAAATGTGATTTTGGAAAGCCGCTCTGCCTTCATTCCAGCATCTGTGACGAAAACCTTTGGCTTAACATTTCTTCACACTTACTGTCTGACAAGGATGTCACCAGGGCCTGTCCCACTGTCCACCCTTTGTGGTGTGTTTGCTGTGGGCAGCAGGTTGCTCGGGGGCAGTGGGTTAAATCAGGAGGAAGCGCTGGACAAAGCTTCTTTGTCAAGACCCTCATCTTTACTCGAATTGACCCTGTTGGGCATTTCCGTAGTTGAAGTGGACGTGAGCTGAAGGAGACCTTTCTGGTTCTTCTGGGAGGCCATAGGGAAGGTGGTAACAGATGGACTCACTCGTCGTGGGTGGGCTCAGGCCTGGGAGGGGAGACAAGGCTGGAATGCCTGATTTGGAAGTGAGTGGTCCTCTGGTGGAGGCCCTGAGATGACACATGGACTTTTTTTGTTGTTTGTTTGTTTTTGGTTTTGGGTACTGGAGATTCGAACCAGAGCTTTACCACTGAGCTACATCCCCAGTCCTTTTTAATTTTTATTTTGAGATAGAGTCTCTCTAAGTGGCTGAAAGCCTCGTCCAGGGCTGAGGTTGACCTTGAACTTGGAATCGTCCTGCATCAGCTTCCCAAGCTGCTGGGATAGAGGCGTGTGTCACTGTGCTGGGCTGTTCCTGTTGACTTTTTTGAATGTTAGAATTTAAAAATATTTTGATTGACGTGAAACAGTGATGCACAACTGTGAGGTACACTGTGATGTTCTAATTCATGTATACATTAGGTGAAACTCCGTCAGGGTAATTAGCATATCCATCATCTTAAACTTTTATCATTAATGCAAAAAATATTAAGAATTCGCTCTTCTAGTTGTTTTCTTTTTAAATACTATGCATTATGCTAACTATATTCACCTCATGGTGCCATGGAACACCAGAGACTGACTTGGCTCATATGACTATATATCATACCCATTGACCAACTCTCTCCAGCATCTAGTAGATACTGTTCTCTCAAACCCATGAAACCATCTTTTTTTTTTTTTTTTTAATCCCACGTAGGAGTGAGATCTTGTGATGTTTGTCTCTCTTTCCCTGACTCATTTCACTTTCCATAATGATCTGTAGTTCCATCTGGGTCGTCACAAATAACAAGGTTCCATGTATTTTTATGGCCATACAGAATCCGGTTGGGAATCTTCCTCGTTTTCCTCATCTGTTCATCTTTTGGCGGATATTTGGGTTGATTCCATATCCTGGCTCCTGTAAAGAGTGCTGCAATGAACCCTGGAGTGCAGGTATCTCTTCAACATGCTGGTTTATTTTCCTTTGGGTGTGCACCCCGTAGTGGGATTGAAGGATAAGGGTAATTCTGTGTTTAGCAGGGAGACATCTGACCCTATTTCCATAATGGCTTTACTAACTTACATTCCCACCAAGCGGGTATACGAGTTCCCCTTTCACCACATTCTAATTAATTAAACATTAATTCTTCTAATCCATGAGCATGAGGTGTCTTTTCATTTATTTGTATTCTCTTCAATTTTTTTCATCAGTGTTTTATAGTTTTCTTCGTAAAGGTATTTCACCTCCTTGGTTAGATTTATTGTTAGGTACTTTCTTTTAGTGGGTATTGTAAATGGGATAATTATCAATTTCTTTTTCAGATAGTGTCCCATTAGCGTGTAGAATTGCTATATTGATTTTTGTGTATTGATGTTTGTTTGTCCTACAACATTATTAAATTCACTTAAAAAGTTCCAGCATGTGTGTGTGTGTGTGTGTGTGTGTTAAGTCCACAGGGTTTTCTATGTACAAAATCATGCCATCCACAAACAAGGACTGTTTAACTTTCTCTTTTCCAACTTGGATGCCCTTTATTTACTTCTTGACTAAACCCTGGCTCGTACTCCTAATGTAGGGTGCGTTGTGTAAAATTGGTGAAGGTGGGTATCCTCACCCTGTCTTTAATCTTAGAGGAAGAACTTTCGGTCCTTCCTTATTGTGTATGCTGTTAGCTGTTGGCTTGTCTTTTAGAGCCGTTATTGTGTAGAGAGACATTCCTACTCTACCTAATTTGTTGAGAGTATTTATTATTAGGTGATACTGAATCTTATCAAATGCTTTATCTGCATTTATTGAAATGATCCTATGATTTTTGTCCTTGATCCTGTTAATGTAATGTATCGGAGTCATTGATTTGCAGACGTTGGATGATCCTTATAGCCTTATATCCTACTTATCATTATTTTTTCAATGTGTTATTAAATTCAGTTTGTTAGGATTTTTAGAATTTTTGCATCTAGGTCCGTCAGGCATATTGACCAATGGTTTTTGATATTGCTGTGTTCTGATCTGGTTTGGGTATTAGGGTAATGCTTGCTTTGTAGAATGAGTTTGGAAGGGTTTTTTCAATAGTTTGAGAATAACAGGTTTTAGTCCTTCTTTAAATGCTTAGTAGAATTTAGCAGTGAAGTCATCAGGTCCTGGATTTTTATTTGATGAAAATTTTTTTTTACTATTGACTTGATCTTATTGCTCATTATTGTTCTATTCAGGTTTTCTCTTTCTTCATGAATCAATTTTGGTGGGTTGTAGGTGTCCAGGAATTTATTCTTTTCTTCTATTTTTTTTCACTTTGAGGTGTATAGTTGTTTATAGCTGTAATGTTTTTATTTTCATCTCCAATTTTATTTGAGTTCCCCACCTTTTTCTTAGTTTGTCTAGCCAAATGTTTGTTGATTTTGACTTGTCAAAAAAAAGAAGAAAAAAACCCAATTCTTGGTTTCATTCATCTTTGTATTGCTTTTAAATTTCTATTTAATTTACTTCTGCTCTGTTCCTTATTATTTCCTTCATTCTATTGTTTTGGGTTTAGATTTTCTTATTTTTCTAGTTCCTCAGTGTCTAACGTTAAGCCGTTCATTTGAGACCTTCCTTCTTAAAATTGCTTTTGCTGTATTTTGTTAGTTTTGGTAAGTTGTATTTCCATTTTCATTTAACTCAGGAAATTTTTTACATTTCTTCGTTGACCCATTGGTTGCTTAAGAATGTGTTATTTAATTTTCATTTATTTATACAATTTCCAGAGTACCCCTGTGATTATATGGATCAGGATGGATGAATCCACTTCTCAATAAAAAAGCAAGTTGAGATTTCCCTCCCTCTGAGGCTAAGGCCAACACTGACTGAGCTTCTGAATGTGGCAGAACCAGTGGGTGCCTTTTGCCTGGTTTTCAGCTTTGGTTGGTCTCAGCCTGGGTGGGGCCTGGAGGGGGTCTTTGAGGCTGCAGGAAGTGCGTTTAGACTCCCAGCTGTGGCCTGCTCCTTGTTGAAATCCTCTGTGAGAGTCTTCCCTTTCTCAGGCTAGGCCCAGAGGCTGGGTAACTAAGAACTCAGGTCAAGAAAAGAAATACTTCTTACCTCTTCTGGGAGTGACCCTATTGGCTTTGTGGTGACTATGATATTGGAATCTCTGGTCCAGTGTAGCCCTGTGCATGCTGGTCTCTGTGAGCTCTGCCCGCTTGCTTACCTGGGCTCACATGGGCTAGCCATTCAGTTCCCTCCTGTATTCTGCTTGAGCTGAGAACAGAAGGGGCTTTCTGGAAAGCATCTCAGAGGGCTGGGGAAGTGGAGTGTGGTGCTTCCCCTGTGCTTTCTACCCTCTGTGAGAACTCTGGCCCTGGGTGGTGGTGTTCTGACGTGGGAGAAGGGAAGGGATGATGTTGTCCTAGAGAGACCAGATCTCTTATGCTTTTAAAGCAGATTTTTATTCAGTTCTGTAAAGCGTAAAGGTGACACAGTCTTATTCCCCAATTTTGGGGTTTTCACCAAATTGTCTGTGTATAATTGCTAGTTTATCTTTGTAAAGGGAGAGCAAAGGCTGGATTCTCTTATTCTGTCTTGGTGATATCGTTCTCAAAACGACATGTTGACACATAAGTCCTG